TCAGCTTCTGCATTTACAGCATTCACACAGCTTCTGCATTTACAGCATTCACACAGCTTCTGCGTTCACAGCATTCACACAGCTTCTGCTTCATACTTCATCCAGAAGAGGTGGCCGAACTGGGGCTGTGGTTATCAGGTTAGAATTAAAGATATTATAGAATTAGAATTAAAGATTTGTTTATGTTTGGTTGTAATTTTCAGGTGACCTCAGGTTTTGAACTCTACGCGACCTTTAGCCCCCTGGTGACGAAGCCAGTAGCGATAGCAGCGGTCGAGAAGTTACTACGGTGGATCAAGCGAGAAGAGGATAGGCTCTTCATACTGAAGTCTCTTACGTTTTGAGTCTTTCCCGGCTAGCATTAGTGTATCCGAGAATTAACTGCTATCGTCTCTATATAACACTGGTTCTCTTTCTCTGTCTTTCTCTCTGTCTCTGTCAATCTAACTTTAATATGCCTCTCTTCTCTTTCAGTTACTTCTTACTATCGTTTTGTCTCTCTGCCTACTTCTCTCCTGTTCTTCCTTTCTCTCTTTCTCTTCTTCTGTCCAGGTTCCCTCTCTTTCCCTCCCATCTCTCTTCATCTCTGTCATTCTTTCGTTCACCCCTCTTCCTGTTCACTCCCTATAATGATAGGAAAAGTTTGCTATCATTATAAACTTTTCCTATTCCTCCATGATGTTCTTTTTGCTTGGGTTGGTGCTTCATATTGAAGTATATCATAATGTGTTAAGTTTAAGAAACTGCATTTATGCATAGATGCATCATATCCAGAAATGGCAAACCCTGTATTTTTGCTCATCTGCTAGAGGCGACTTCCATTAGCCTCTTCCACCCCAACCTCCTAACAAATCCCACCCATAAGAAGTTTTAGCCACCTACTGTACTGCATCGGCTGTACTGTACTGTGCATAAGCAACAGTTTTGTTCTGTGGCGCCATCTATGGGATGCCTTTACTACTCTTAGCACCGCTACTCGAGTGATTGATCGGTGTCACTTCCCCCCGGGCGTAGAGGGAGGGTGCCACTACGTGGCAGCACTAGTGTTAGGATTAGGGGTAGGGAAATAAGGCCATGTCTAGCATGGAAGTATGACTGTGGAATGACGGAAGTGTACGAAGTGACTAGTGCTGCCACGTAGCGGCACCCTCCCTCTACGCCTGGGGGAAAGTGACACCCGTGATTGATCACACTCCCTTCCATCGTGCTCGACCTTAGCCACGCCCCATTCATACTCAGCACAGGGTGAGGACTCTGTGCACGAAACATATCCATTGTTATTGCGAAGCTGTTTGCTGATGTGCAGAGATATGCGAGCAAGTGTGTGTATAGTGCGTGGGATGTCGTGTTAGGGGGGCAGTATTGTTTACAGAACGATCACTTACATTGTTAGTTGTTACGTTGTGATGTTAACATTCGTGCTTGATTCGCCCTTTATTATAATATAACGACTGCGCGTGCGTGTGTGAGTGTGCGTGCGTGCGTAAGTACGTGTGCGTATATGTGCGTGCATGCGTGCGCGCGTGTGTACGTGTGTGTCTATGTGTGTGCATGCATACGTGTGTGTATATGTGCGTGCGTGCGTACGTACATGCGTGCATACGTGAATGTACATGCGTGCGTACATGTATGTATATGTGCGAGTGTATGTACGTGTGTGCGTACGTAATACGGTCATGTACGTGTGTACGTGTGTCTATGTGCGTGCATGCATACGTGTGTGTATAAGTCCGTGCGTGTGTACGTGTGTGTATATGTGCGTGCGTGCGTACGTGTGTGTATATGTGAGTGAGTGAGTGCGTGCGTGCGTGCGTGCGTGCGTGTGTGTTTATGTACGTGTCCGTGCGTGCGTACGTGTGTGTACTTGTGTGTATATGCACGTGTGTGTGCGTGCGTGCGTGCGTGCGTGCGTGCCTGTGTGTATATGTACGTGTGCGTGCGTGCGTGCGTGCGTGCGTGCGTGCGTGCTTACGTGTGTGTATATGTGAGTGAGTGCGTGCGTGCGTGCGTGCGTGCGTGTGTGTATATGTACGTGTGCGTACGTGCGTGCGTGTGTGTACTTGTGTGTATACGCACGTGTGTGTGCGTGCGTGCGTGCGTGCGTGCGTGCGTGCGTGCCTGTGTGTATATGCACGTGTGTGTGCGTGCGTGCGTGTGTGTACTTGTGTGTATATGCACGTGTGTGCGCGTGCGTGCGTGTGTGCATCCGATTCGACAATGACCGGCATCAGTATAACGGACCGAAATTGATCCTAAATAATTTGTGTGATTTTTCCAAAGAGTGTTTATAATTGCTGGCATCGTCCTAGGCGTAATGGTAGCGTTAGCGTAGAAAATCGGGGGGCAAGTCGTCCGGCATTTCGCCTGTCGATAGGCAGTTAGCAGCGTGCGTGCGTGCGTGCGTGCGTGCGTGCGTGACTGCGTGCGTGCGTGAGTGCGTGACTGCGTGCGTGCGTGCGTGCGTGCGTGCGTGCGTGCGTGCGTGCGTGCGTGCGTGCATGTCGCAGTCTAGCGGGTAAGTGTACATACCCTGTGTGTGTGGATGAAGGCGGTGCAATTCACTGCAAGCTTTATGTTATCAAGAGTCAATAATAGAAAGTTTTCTATTACGGACTCTTCATGTTATCGATGTGTAAATATTACCGCGTATAGAATGTGTATCGGAATTGTGTGAATATTTTACTGTATGATAATAATGTTTTGTAAATGCCGAGATGCAACAATAACAACGTACCGTGTGTGATCGAAATCAAACGGAATCTCTTAGCAATTTATCTTATATCTTATCTTTTATCTTATATTATTTAGTGTATATAATATTATCTGTTTAGCAATGGCGTCGTGTTGTCGATGTGTTACGGTGTTGCAGCGAGAGCACATGAGCTCGATGTAGCATCGTCTAAACAGAACAATAAGCACGAAACATGAAGTACGGAACAATAAGCACGGAACATTAAGCACGGTACACGAAGTACGGAACATTAAGCATGGAACATTAAGCACGGAACAATAAGCACGGTACACGTTAAGCACAGAACAATAAGCACGTTACACGAAGCACGGAGTACGAAACGTGAAATGTGAAACATTAAGCACGGAACACTAAGCACGGAGCATGAAGTATGGATTCTGACGTTAGGGCGAACTGCATGCTTCATCCACATGGATAGCAGCTGATAGTTAGGAGGAATTTTTCTCTGAAGAGAAAATGGTGACCCCTGCATTTTGAGCACAAGCTTAGCGTTCCGTCACCGTAACTAGTAACAGTTAAAAAAATGATGTAGGGGCCTACACTTTTCTACAAAATGTAAGTGGTTCTGTTCTTTTTTTTATGGTTAAATTGCTGCATTATACTTCTTATTTTGCTATTCCGTTCGATGTGAACAAACACTCGTGACTCATACATAGCCCATAGCAAGCATTTAATGTCGTGATCAATATATCAAATCGCCCAGTTTTTTGTTTTTTCTAACTAGTTGAAAACCAATCTTATCAGGTAAGAATTTGAGGATACATTTAGTGCCGTTAGTACTTACTTTTCATGTAAAAAAAATTGCAACAAAAATTTTACAAATATACACCATAGCAAATTCGTGACGTAGTCAATATAACGACCTCAACCGCGCCACAACCACGCGCCACAACCGGCTATTTTCTTAGCCAACGTTGTCTTGGCTACGATTGGATTGGATTGGGCAACGAGCGTTGGATTGTTTGATGGCGTGATATTATATTATGATCGAGTTTCCTTCAGAAGAGCAACGTCCTTGTTCGCGGTAAAGCACGGAAGTCGCTATTTACAATGAGGTAGTATTTCCCATCGGGGGCGGACAGGGACGCGACAGCGGGGGAACATGATTAAATATCAATTATTAATGCATAATTAGTAGTCACGCGACGCGTGAGTAGATGCCCCAGAATGCCGCGCGTCATCGGGCGTAGTTTACTAATTCCGCCTGTAGGTGGCAGCATGTGTTCGCCGTAGCAAACACGGCGTAAGCGCGCATCAACATCACACGTACAGTGCGCGAATCAGCGTCGGCATCTCCGCAGGTGATCTCAGCATCCCGGTGCCATGCAGACGAAACATCACCTGTGCATAACATTGTCTTGTCTCAGATAGGATATGTCTGATGGCGACACAGCAGGAGCAGCAGAAGTAGGTGAGTGAGGATAAAATTAACGCGAGTATTAACTTTAAAGTTTAAGGCTGCCAGGGTCTATTGTCTATATGTCTCCCTGGGTACTGCCGGAACGTACCCTGGGTACGGTCCGGTAATACCGGAACGTATCCTGGTAACTATCTGATATGGTTAGGGTTAGGGTTAGGGAGTAGGCGTAGGCGACTCCCTAGACTCGTTAGTGGAGTAGGCGAGGTACGGTCCGGCATATTACTATTAGATAGTACCAGGGTACGTTCCGGTATACCGGACCCGTACCCAGGGTACGTTCCGGCAGTACCCTGGGGGACATGCCGGAACGTACCCTGGGTAGGGTCCGGTATACCGGAACGTAACCTGGTACTATCTAATAGTAATATGCCGGACCGTACCTCGCCTACTCCACTAACGAGTCTAGGG